GCTGACCACTGTCACTGTCCATTCTTTGGTCTCTGTGAGGCTCCTAAGTGGTGTGCACACGGTGTGCAGACGCAGGTGTGTCGAGCCCCTCGTCCCCAGGGCAGTGTGCCGGCTGTCTAATGGTGGCATCTTTCCTCCTCCCCTTCTCTCTTCTTCATGATGTTGCTGAAATTAATAGGCAACACTTGATCGTTTTGTAAGTGATCAAACACCTGGAGGAATAAGCACCCTGCCCAGACTTGGAGGATGAGTCCAGTGTGCAGGGCCACACCAGCACCCTCCCGGGCCTGTCTCAACGCAGCCCAGGTTGCCCCAGCTCTTTGCAGAATCTGACTCATGAAACCACCCAGCAGCAGGACATGGGGCCCTGGTGGCAGTGACCGGAGCTGTGGCTGCAGTGCGTCCAGGGGCAGGAGCCGGGATTAAAAACTCAGGCCTTCTGCTTCCAGGTTGAAACTTGCCATCTGGATCCCCTGTGCACACACCGTACCTTCTAAGGGCTAAACTTCACATCACGTGGGCCCTTTTGGTCTTCTGGGGTGTTGGGGGTATTCGCCATCCATCTGCAAAAGCTACAAGTGTGCTTCAAAATATCTTCCAAGCCATCAATAAGAATGCCAAACAGGACAGGCCCAGGAGCTGAGGTCTGGGGCGTGGGGCTGGGATTCTGACCCACACCGCTTAGATTCAGCATTTCCAGAATCTCATCATACCAGTTTCAAAACACTTGATGTGCAAGTGGTTGGAAGTCAGAGGGCTCCTGCCGCCTCCCCGGAGGACCTGAGCCAACGGAGCTCTGCACTTGCTGCAGCTCCCCGCCTTTGTGCTCGCCCTTGCCTGCTTCCAGGCCCTCGTGACCTTGCTGCTGGCTCTCCAAGGTTGTCAGCTAGGTGGGTGGCAGAACTGGGATTCTAACCAGGGCCACCAGAATTCTGGTCCTCTGCTCCATCCCCAGTGCCGCCACCTGCCACCTGTGGCCCACACTCAAAATTCTCACAATCTCATTTCTGCAAGAATGCAGCCACCTCTAACTGTCATCTCTTTGCTCTCCCCTGGGGCACATGGCCTTCCAGTAATAGGTCAGTGGCTGTTAGTGACGACCCGCAGGCTGTGGCCTGGCGTTGGCCTGCCCTGGTCTGAGCTGCGCCCTCGTCCTCTTCTGTTCTCCACTGATCTTTGGTGTGACGCCGAGTTCACATTTTGTCCATCTGTGCCTGTGTCCACAGGACTGCGGCTGTTGTGTCTGCTGGCGGCAGCAGGGCTCACCCCACAGGGCGTTTTCTGGGGCCCTGAGACAGTCGCCAGCCAGTGTACAGCTCTGCCGCACAGAACCCTAAAGTGAAGAGCCTCTTGGTTTTGAGGCTGGGTCTTACTGTATCGCCCCTGGCCTCAAACCTGCCTTAGCCTTCTGCAGAGCTGGAATTACAGGTTTGTGCTGCCAGCCCAGGTGGGTCCTGGGCCCCAACACGGTTCCTTCCCTTGTGACTGAAGAGGGTCACCATGCTCCTCTCAGTAGGCGAGACCATCACTCTGTACTTGCTGGTTCTTTTCCCAGTTCTTTCTGCCCCAGGGGCACTACTTGTCACATTTTCTCCAGAGGTGCCTGTTACTCTGTCTTCCGACAGCCACCAAAACCTGTGGGCATCACTGCCTCTCCCTCCTCCTCCATCCAGGGAGGCACAAGCCGTCAGAGAAACTTGGAAGCATCCTAGAACAAAGACTTGTCTACGTGTGACCCTAAACTTATTTATAGTCCTAACCTATTAAAAAAGTGCCACCAGCAGCCAGGCGGGGTGGCATGCCTGATCCCAGCTGCTTGGAGCTGAGGCAGGACGGTTCCGCGGGCAGTCTAGCCAGCTGTCTCCAGGTGAGCACACCTGGCTGGGGAAGTAGCTCAGTGGTGGGGCCTTGCCTCGTGGCAGGCCTGGGTCTGTTCCCAGCACAGCCGCTCTCCCTGTTAAGACAGCCTGTGGACAGCCCGCCCTGCCATGCCTCTTACCTGGGAAGCCCCTGTGAGTGTGTCCATAGTGGAGAGGTGGCCTGCAGTCTCTCAGTGGCCCATCTGGCGGGGTGTAGATCTGCTGGTGAGGCCTTGACTTCACCACCCTGTCAGCGCAGGTGGCTTCAGTCTGTCGTGCTGTGTGGTCCAGCCTGGGCTGGGGCAGTAGCAGGTCTTCTAGGAGTTGTCTTGGTTAAATAAACTGATCTGTCGCCTGTGAGGGGTGGGGGTACTCGAAGGCAAGGAGGTTGGTAGGTCTCTGGGAGAACTGTAGCTTGGCAGAGGAAGGGGTGCGCCTGCCCCATGCTTGTCTCTGAGCCTTCCTCTCCCATCTGCACTTCAGCTTTTCAGTGGGGCCTTAGCACAGAGAGGACCAGGGCTGGCCAGGGAGAGAGGTCCTGCAGGGCTGGCCTGAAGTTCTCCCACCGAGGGGTGTCTGGTTCTGCACCTTGTTGAGTCAAAGACATTGACCAGAGAAGGATGTGACCATCATGAGTGAGGGCATATGAGACCAGCCCCCAGGCTTCCTTCCAGGTACGGGAAGGATCAGAGGAGAGACCTGTGCACACTAAGTGCCCAGTTCACCCCGAGCCACCCCAGCCTTGACGACGTGATCCTGGTGTCACCCTCCTGCTACGCCAACGCCTTCCCTGCTTTTAGCATCCCTGTATGGCGGCTCCACGTGCCCACCAGAGCTCACCCTCTGCCCACACACAGCCACACTTCAGCCATTTTTTAATGTATTATTTTGAGACAAGGTCTCACCAAGTTCCCCAGACTGGCCCCAAACTCTTGATTCTCCTGCCAGCCTCCCAAGTGGCGCTCTTCTCCCTTTGGAGGGGGGCAGGGGCTGAGCGTGCTGGGCACCTGGTTTGCCACTGAGCAGTGTCCCCAGCCTGGAATGGGCCTTGCACACTGAGTAGCCTCTGCCTGGTAGACAGAGGCCAACAGCACTGCACACTGCCTGCCGCCCTGGGCTGAAGAGGTGTCCCCAGCCCACACCGTGTCTGTAGGCAATTAGTGCATCAATCACCCGGTGAGATTTGGGTTATTACTGTGCTTTAGCAGTGGCAGCAGCGATCATTGAAGTGCTAGAACTCATGCTGGGGAGAATATTTGGACTGAAATTTTGCATATTTTGAAACTCAGGTTGTTACATTTAAAATTATACACATTGTGAGTACCTGGCTTCAAACGAGAGGGAGGGAAGAGCGCTCCTTCCTGTCAGAACCCCTTCACTCTGTCTGTCATGTAACCTGACTAAAAATAAACTACAAGCACAAGAGGTGGCAGCTTCAGCTGGGAGCAGGGCGTGTGCTCCGCCGCAGGGCCTGTCTGCACTCCCAGCCACGCCTGGGCCTTCGCAGCCGGACCTCCGCAGGGACGAAGGGCGTCCGGTGCAGACAGATGAAGCAGGTGGGGAGCGCTCAGAAGCGCCCCGCCCAGTGCTCGCGGCCCTGCTTGGCCGTGGTCTGCCTGCCGGTCAGAAGCCAGCACTTGCCTGCTTAGTCCTCTTAGACCTTGCGAGCTCCGTCCTCAGTGTCCCCGCTCTTCAGACGAGGGAACTGAGGTGCAGAGCCCGGGCCCCTTGTCCCCTGTCCTGCTCTCCTCCATTCCGCCGTCACTGGCTCCTGCCCCTCTCCCTCACTGCAGCAGCCCCTCGAAACCACCGAGGACTCCCCACCTCAGAGCCTGGTCATTGCCGCTCTTGGGCCTGCAAGGCCAGCCTGTTGGGAAGAGCGGACGTGGGCTCTGTGTCCACGTCAGCCTCTGGGTCTGCTGACTGTTGGTCTTCACAGATTCCCCTCCTTGAGTCTTCCTGTCCTCACCTGAGAAGTGAGGGTAACAGTCGTCCTTGCCATGGAGTGAGACTGTGGGAGGGGACGTGCACAGCAGGGAGTACTTGCTGCCCGTCTCCTCTTTGCCCTGAACCCCCTTCCTGGCCCCTCAGCATTGCCTGCAGGGTGGGCACCAGCACACACACCACGCCACCCGTCCTGCATCAGGTTGATAGTGTAGTGTTGGTCTTGTTTCAAATTCTTGGGTTTCAGGGGAATCCTGTTTAATTTATTTTGACCACAATTTCAATCAATTTCATCTTCTGATTATTAGAGCAAACAAAACAGTGGCACGTGTCAGCTGCCCTTGGTGAGGGCTATGGACACGCTGTCAGGACACTGCTCGGCCTGGCTGCTGGCGCAGGCTCAGGGGCACGTTGCTCTTGCTCTGCGGGAAGCACTCTGCTCTGCAGTTTTATAACCATTCTTCTGTGTGTCGTTGAACTTCCACGGATTTCCTCCTCTGCTCTGATCAGCTGTGAGACTGCTGTCTTGAGCACAGTTCAGCATCTGAAATGGCTTTCAGCTGTTAGTGTGGATTAGGACTTACCCCTCTGGGAAGGCTCCACACAGGTGCTGGCAGGCTGCACCCTGAACCCACCCTCTCAAGGTTAGAAACGATTTTAAGAATCTTCTGGCAGCAATGGACATCCGTGATTGACATCCACCTTCCTATTGGACCTGGCAGGACGGGTGGGCCTGGCAAGTTCCTGTCCTAGAGAGCCTGGTGCCAAGGCCCACCAGCACCCAGAGGGTACTTTGAACTGTGTCAAGGTCACTAGAACACCGACAGGTCTCATGGCTTCGTGTTGTTGAGTCTTCTGGTGGGTTTTCTGATCCTTTGGCAGACTGCTATATCACACGCCTCATTTGCCATCAGAGTTTGAGGATATAGAGTTTTTTTTTTTTTTTCTCATAAAAACAACACAGAACAAAGCCTCACTTTTAAAAATGCCATGATATTTTGCACCATTATGAAAATCTGTCAGCGCCGTATCTAATCTTCCGGTGCATAGAATATCAAAACAAGCACATTGAAGGGATTGCACTTCTATTAATACAGAAATGTCAGCTTCCGTCTCAGGGCCAGCTGCGCCAGCCTCTTTCCAAACAGGAGGAAAGCATACTAAAGTTTCTTTCCCTCTGCTGTCCCTGTCTTCCAGGCCCGGCCTTCGCAAGAAGACCCAGAGCACACACCATCTCGCCCAGGTCCTGCGCTCTGAATATGCAAGTGGCCTGGAGGCTTCGAGAGGAGGCCGGAAGGCGAAGCCATCAGGAAACCTGTAGCCAAGGGAAAACAGAACTACCCTGGAGCCAGAAAACCCGGAGACAACTGAGGACAGCAGCCCTTCCTCTCCTCCCTGGGACTAGGCCTCCGAGTGGCTCTGAGGCCTGTTCTCATCAGAGGAGGCACCTCTCCCTGAACACCCAGACCCCAGGACTCAGACGTCAGGGCCAGCCCTGACCCCTTGGTAGAGGAACCATGATAGAGTGAGTGGGGAGGGGCAGCCAGTAGGTCCGCTAGCCAGGTGACGGCAGAGAGAGGTCTTACAGGTGCTCCTCAGTGCCGGACGCCCAGCACCAGCGCGGTCTGCAGTGATGGCACCCTCCCCTCGCCCACCCCGTGTCCTTGTCCAAAGAAGCTTCACAGCTTGACCTCTGCCCTGCCCTAACCCTAACCTCTGCCCTGCCCATGCTGGTGTTGGCATGAATGATGTGAATTGGTTAAAAACTGGACTTGAGTTTGTACAAAAAAGTATTTGTCAAGTAATTATTTTCTTTATGTTCAAATGCTTTTTTAAATGAAGAACCATAAAGTCTGGGTCAAAATACAAACATGCTTGCAATGGCAGGCCCTCTGTCGCCACAGCGTCACCTGGTGTGTGGACTTCCCTTCCTGCGCAGGGAAAACTCACTCGGAGGCTGGCCGGCTCTCTGTTGCCTTGTTATTACTTGCCTTTCAAGTCAAAAGGCCTGGGCTTTTCTTCCCATCAAATCCCATCTTGCCTTCAAGAAAGGTTTGGGGTCTTTGTTTTGTGACCCAGACCCTAGCTAACCCCCACTATTGTGTCTCTGGGAGGTTTGAAAGAGGACCCCTGGAGCGTATTGATTTCCCAATAAATGTAAGATCTGGACATGAGAGGGCTTCACAAGAGACAGCCCGGGAGCCAGGCCCCACTCAGGCCTCCGCCTGTTCCTTGCGCTTGCTCTGCACTGTGGCCCGACCCTCCGTGGCTTTCCCAGGACAGAGTGAGGCAGCACTTCAGTGACCCCGCAGCTCCAGGAGAACTGGGAGAGGGTGGCAAGAAGGGCCCCTCACCACCTCCTGGCTGGTCGCAGCGGTAGGTGTGTTTCACATGGTTTGGACAAGAACAGGAGGAACCAGCTTTTCACGGCTGAGACCCAGCTGTGAGAACAGGATGCCACGTGTGGTCCGGACCACCAGTGTGAGCCCCCAGCACACCTTCTGTCCAGGGGGACTTGCAGAGTCCTTCAGTCCTCCGGAAGCACTGTCAGAACTTCCTCAAACTGTGGTGACTTTAATTCAAACATCTAATTCACTATCAGGTGAGGGTGTCTCACTAGAGATGTTGTGTTGTGTGCTTCTAAATAAAATCAACATACTACCACCCTCTTAATAAAGAAACATGGATTTAGCAGATTTAGGGTTAATATTGTCTAAATTTAAATAACCCTAAGATAAATCTCTTATTATGGCTCCTGACAGATTATACATTTCAGGCATCAATTAGGCAAAGATTTAGGCTAATTCCACTGCACAAGTTCTAATTTTGTGTGTATTTTTAATTGTGCCTCTTTTTTCTAATTTCCCAAACTTACCCATTTATGACTTAAGCCTGGTTGCCATGTTAGAGTCACAGAGAATTTGGACATTTACTGTAATGCTGTGGCCTCAAAACTTTTCTCCCTGTGGGCTGGCAGAAGAAGGCCTTTTTGGAATCCAGAACATCTCCCTGTTTGCAGCGCTAGTCGCAGCCCACCTTCTGAAGGCCCCGTTCCCATGCACTGAAGGGCACATAGCTCTTGGTGAGTAACTAAGCCTGCGGGTGCAATGCAAGCAGGCTACTGAAGGCTGGCAGAGGACAGTGGACAAAGCCCAGTGGGCTCCTTTGATTTTTTTCATTCCCCTCACCCAGGGGAAAGGAGGGGAGATTGTGGGAGAAAGGGGCCTAGACAGGGCCTCCGGAGGCAGGTCTCAGTTCAGCACACTGGCAGGCGGGACCGCTCACCCCTCTTACCTGTTCCTCCACTGGGGAGCCAGGGCAGGGCCCACAGGGGTAGGCAGTTTAGATTCTCTGGCCAGAGGGCCAGTGGCCATCTAAACTGCCAGCTGTCGCCCTGCCCTGTTGCTCCAGGGTCCCGGGAGAGGCTCTGGTGGAAGGCAGGAAAGGCAACTTCTCACGACCCCCTGTTGTTCCCTCTGCTGGGGGTCCTCCCCCACCTTTAAATGAAGACTTACCCACCCCCAGGGCTGGAAACAGGGAAACCAATTTGGCCTTCTAAATGGATGAAAGCAGAAGCCCACCTTACAGCTAAGGTTGTGAGGTTATTATTACAGATGGGATATGCAGGACAATTTAAGATATTGTAATTATAAACTTGTAGGGAAGCCTTGTTCTTCATTAATGTAAGATATGAAATCGCCTCTGAGGTACAAGGACAATTACATAGTTGAGAACGTGTCTGTGATTTACACTGCGGCTGTGTAAATGTAAGGGTGGTTGCTCCAGTCTGCCTCCTCCACTTCCACAAAATGAAAAGCACACCGGTGCAAGTTGTCCTTTGATAGATTTTTAATATGATTTTAAAGAGTTTTGTTTGGTCTCATTCTTATTCAATGAGATTAATTTAAAGCACTTATCCCCTGGGTTTAAGTCAATCCATGTAGGATTTGGGCAGGGTTTGTTGCATGGGGGGTTTTGTTTGCAGGAGGCTATGAGAGACTCCTTTCCCACTTCATTAACCCTGAGTTGGGGACAGTCCCCCCTTACCCCCCACCAAAGCCAGAGCTGGGGATTTACCAGCCCCCATTCACATGCAAAAGAACTTGAAAGCCGAGGGGCTCCTTGACTTAATTAGCTGCTGTGCATTTTGCAAAATTAGAATAATACCCTCACCATCCCAGGAAAGAAAGACCAGGGTGTGTGGGGGCTGGGGCCAGGGAGGAAACTGTAGCAGGCCTGGTTTGTGGGGTTATAGTCTGAACACGCCCCTCATCTCCCCATCTCAGTCCTCCCCCAGCAATCCTACCAACAAAGGGTGGGGTGGGCAGGGTGCTTTTGGCTCCCTAGGCACCCAAGCTTCCCAGCCTTGGCCATTTTGTTGCTTGGAGAGGAGCACCTGTGCCCCCTTCCTCAGAGGAAGGTCTCAGGGTGTGACCTTGGCCCTTTGAACGTGATCTAGAGGCCTGTAGTCTGGCTGAGGACTCAGCCCCCTCCCTCCCCTGGGATCGTGGAGCCACAGGCCAGGGTGGTGGGAAGGGGCAGGCCTGGGTTAGACACTGGGATTTGACTCCCGTCTGGGTCTCATTCTAACTTACTCCCAGGGTGAAGGGGGCAGTGGAGGATGCGAAAGGGGTTTACCGATGAGATGTCAGCTTCGTGGATACCGCCCGATGGGTTTTACCGGGCACTAGAGGCCAGGGAGCCGCCTTGGCGCCCGCAAGCGTCAGAGCCGGGGTCGCCGGGCAGAGGAGGGTGGGATGATGAGGTAGCAGCTTCGGAGTCCATCTGTCAGCCCCACGCCCGGCGGGCCGGTCACCAGCTGCCGGCGCCCTTGCCGCGGCCAGATGAGTTGGCTCAGCCAGGGCACCGCAGCCCGCAGCCCGACCTGCAGCCGAGAGGGAGGCCGGGCGCTGACCCCCGCCGCCGCCGGCCCCGCGCCTCCCGGTCCCCAGGACGGGCTGGGAACAGATGGAGAGGAAGGGGGGCGGAGAGCAACGGATTGCCTCATTATAGAGATGGGAAGACTGAGGTCGCTGGGGGAGACCCCTGCCCAAGCCCCGCGAGTCTGGTCGTGGTCCCCGGTACACGACCACAGCGCCATGGGAGAGAAGGGGGAGAAAACCGCTTCCCTTTTGAGGACGGGAGGGACAGAGAGGCAAACGGTTCTTGCCAAGGAATGGGAGAGGGCCTCAGCGCGGGCCGACGGACGGGAGCGCGGACAGGCGCCAGGTCGTTTGTAAGAAGTTTATTTCGACATTTAAAAAAGAGAACCCAAGAGGCCTGGCCGACCCGGGGACCGGGCTGGAGGCGGAGGCGGGGCCGGGGCGGCGGGCGAGCCCTCGGCCTCCCTGCCCCACCCAGAGGGGAGGGCACAGGCCACAGACTCACTGATTCACGGACACGGTCACGGGCTCATGGGTCACGAATAAATAACTTCATATACACTTTGCACACGGTATGTACAGCGGAGCCGCGGCCTGGGCGCCGCAGCCTGAGCGGGTGGACCTCCGCGCGCCGCTCCCCCGCCGAGCCCGCAGGGGCGCGGGGAGACGGTCCCCGGCGAGCAGGGAAGGGCAGAGGGAGGGGGGAGACAGGGGGTCACCCCCGCCCGCTCCTGGGGGCGGGCAAGGGGCGCCTGGAGGAGCGGGCAGAGCGGGAGGGCTGGAGACGGGCGGTGGCGCGGACGTACTTCGGTGGGTGGAAGTGGGGCGGCCGGAGAGAGGACGCCGCCGAGGGGGTAGGGAGCCGCAGTTGGGTCCGGGCCTCAGTGGACTTGGCATTTGACCCTTCGGGGACACTGGGTGGGGCGCCGCGGAGAGCCAGGCAGCCCCCGCCCCGGGGCGTCGAAGCGCGAGCGCCCGAAGAGGCGGGCGAAAGGGACGGACGCCGAGCGTGGCCCGAGGCCACGGAGCGCGGCCGGGGGCGGGCGGGCGCCTCACCGAGGCTGCGCGGCGCGCGGGAGGACGCCGGCCAGCGGGGGCAGCGGCGGGGGTGGCTCGCTGGCGCCCTGGAGTCCGTGGATGAGGATGCGGGGCACCAGAGGTCTCTGGAGGGCCGGAGGCGGCGCGCTGGGGCCGCGGTACAGGTAGAGCGCGGCACCAGGGTCCAGGTTGGAAACCAGACTCTGCGGGTAGAAATAAGGCGACGGGAACATCCGCTGGAGCGCTGAGTAATTGCCCGCCTCTGCCAGCAGCTCCAGCCCGACGGCGGTCTGTCGCTTCCATTTAGTCCTGGGGACAGAAATAAACGCGTACCGCGGGGTCAGGACGAGAGCGCCTCCCACCCCTGCCCCTCCCGAATGCTTGGCCCAGAGAGCCTGCAGGGAGGCCAGAGGCACCATTTGTTAATAAACAACGGAGCACCGGACACTGTTCACATGCATTACAGGCATCATTTCGTTTAATCTTTCACTGGTCTTCCACGGCTGTTATCCCTATTTTGAAGATTAAAAAACTGAGGTGTGGTTTTTGTGGTGGTCTGAGAAGGGCAAAGCCCATGTTTTAAGCCAGGCTATCCCACCCAAAACTGGGCCATAACCTCGCCTGCCACATTCTGCCCAGGCCATCACAACCCTTGGAGCTCCAGGCTGGGGCTCTCCCCACCCTTCATATGTGTCCCTTGGGAGGACCTTATGAAGTCAGATCACTCAGGAGACAGCAGCAGAGGCAGTGGAGGTCTGGCCACCACTAGAAGCAAGCCCCATGAGTTAAACCTCCACTGTAAGGTGGCTGGCCCAACATACACCAACGGCTCTGCCAAATTGCCACACCTCCATATGCATACCATCCCTGAACACCCAGGTTTGAGGCTGGGGGCTAACTCTGCATCCAGTAAGGCCCTGAAGTTGGGAGGTCACTGGACTGGGCAAGC